GTAATTATAGTGCATAATTTTTCACAATTACAATTTAAGAGATTGTAATTAGATTTACAAAATAGAATTTTATCACTACACAACAGAGGAAATTTATCGAACAATCGAAATTACACAAACGTTAACAACACAAATAAAAGATATAGAGAAAGAGAGAACAACATTGGATTTGTTTAGGAAGTTCCCCGTTTCTTTTTCGCTTCGCGTACGTCTGCCCCAAATTTTAAAAGTAGAATTGAGATATTTATTATCCCGTTGTAAAGTTTATACAAGAGAAGCAATAGTCACCACACACTCAAGCCTAATTGTTGAAACTGATATTATTCCCTTCTCTTTCCTTGATTCAAGTGCGTCAAGCGCTCCGAACAAACCTCTGGTTACAGCTACTTGTTTACACGAACCCTCATTTCTTCAAACCTTTCGCTCGGCTGAATTTATGAGGCAAATATTTGTGAAAAAAACCCTAAATCCTCAAGATATTGGAGGGCAAAACCCCAATGGTTTATTCAAGAAAAACCCACTGAATCCTCAACCTAAACTAGATACACAATCCTACATTTGGATGTTATCACCTCGACAATGCACTCGTTCAACAAAAATTGTTATGTGTAGATGTTGAAGAATGCAAGAGAGAATGAAGATGATGAGAAAAAATCAGTGTATATCTTTCATTTTTCTTGTTATATCATGTACAATAATGAGACAAATAAATATATATGATGCCTAGACCCACCAACTAACATAACAACATTTTGAAACATAACAAGTCAGAAAAATTGAATTAAAGCAGCGAGTAATCGACCAAAGCATCAGGTGGGTTTACCTGAGCACACCCGAATGCAAAACTACACAAAAAATAAAGTGATGCGCCGACCGAAACAGGGCCTTGCGTCGACGCAAGCTTACTTCAAAACAACATATTTTAATGCTTTCAGTATAAATCGACCAAATGGTCGATGTGAGCAGACCCGAGAGCAAATGATTATTAATCAACATGTATGCATTGATCGAAGCAAGACTGTGAGTCGACGCAGGGGCCTTAAAATGTCAAAAACAAGTTCTTTGCTAACAGTTTGGTCCACCTAAGCCATTTTTGTGTAGACTATAAGTTACCTAACATGATCAAGTGTACACTTAACATATATGAGATGCTTCTATATGTGTAGACACATGAACTTAGAATGTCTTATGCATTTTAAAGAATGAATGCAATCAAAGATGCGATGATATCATCGAAAGTACAAAGTATGAGCTAATACAAGTTTTGACATCATTAAAATAAGGACTAAGGAACCTTTCTCTCACACTATTTTGCTCAGAGTGCAAAAGTTTAAGTGTGGGAGAATTTGATCAGTGCATCTTCATGCACATTTTTCCATTATTATACTTAGGCATTCTTAAAGTGTATTTGAATATTTTTACTATTTTAATGTGTTTTCATATTTAAATTTATTTCTAACTTTATTTTTTTTCGCAGCTTATTTTCAGCATTAATAGTTATTTGATACTTGTTTACTGTGCAGACCGTAACTAGAGCTACGAAAATCGGATTGATGTGTTCTAATAGGCGTTGAAAAGTTGAGACAAAAAGCTACAAGTTTTGTGTTGAGTCCGAGAGCTGATTCAGAGTGAAACAATGTCGAATAATTCGTTGAAGTTTCAGACTTTTAAAATATTTTGTTTTGGACTGGATTTTTTATGTTTTTCGACCCAGTTGGGTTAGAAAATGGATTTGATGTTTTCCTATACCTAGTAGAAGCAGCGATACTGTTCGCGTACCTTCTTTTCACTATTGTCAAATTATACTTTTCCTTTTTACGAATTTCATGGAGAACTAAACCTCTTAGGTTGATCTGCTGTAATCATGTTCAATTAACTTGAGATTTATATAACTTTACAATTCAATTACTATTCATATCAATTCTGTTTTATGATTATCGTTTGCTTAATCCGATTTGTTATAAAGTAGTTTTGTTGATTCTATTGATTTATATTTTCTAAATTTAATTGCGTGTTATCGTTTGCTTAATTCGTTAATCCACTTATTTCTTAACCGTTTGCTTAATTCGGCGAATAGGAAACATGACTCTTATATTGTCATTCTCGCTTGTTGATTGATATTGTGATCGAATATGAATAGAATCCGCTTAGGCCAGTGAAGTTATAATAATCAATGATAGGTAAGAACCGAAACAACACATTAATTTATTTTCATAATCATTTATTTTAATCACTTTTTTTCTTTATTTTTTTAATCGAACTGAAACCTAAACAACCCCCTAATCATTATTAGTCGGTTAATAGTCATACAAGAGTTCTTGCGATACGACATCCGATTGTCGCTTCCTGTTACTACTTTTAAAAACTCATTTTGATCTGCGCGCGACAGTGGATCAAATATACTTTCTCGAACTTGAAGTTGTTGAATGACGACGATAAATTCTAACTCATTTAATTTAAATTTTCCCTAAAGTGAATCTTCTATGAAAAAACCCTCTCATATATGAATTTATGTATAGTTAGAACAAGTTAATTTGTGTGAATTTTTTGTTTCGCAACACATTTATCTCTTTTAAAAGGCATATTTACTCATTGATGCATGAATTTAATATTTTGAAATACTTTGATATCAAATGTCAACTCCGTGCATTGTATTAAGCAAATCATTTGGAAATATCCACAATTTTATTGGATTAAATGTAACACAAATAAAACTCTTCAAAAAATCCCTAACTTGTAACCTTTGAAATAGTTTTTCATGTTTCCTTAAGCACCTACTTAGGAGCATTCTCAACAAATGTAGATATTGCTTCCTCATAAACTTAATTACAAGTATCATTATGACTATAGTATATACTTTTAAGAGAGAATGGAATCAACTTTGACTTTATATTTTCTACTTTCCAAACATGTATTCACTAAAATTATCATTGTCTCTTGGAAGTTGCAATTCAAATGGAAAAATATCTACATACCATTAGATTCTTTTGTTTTAAGATGTTTCACATTTATCGTAAAAATAATAATTTTGCTAATCGTATATCAAATATAGATTTTACATTCAAATTTTGATATGCATGGTTTCCATCACAAAGTATGCGAATGATGGTTTCATAAGGGATAAACTTCATTCATCTAATTTATGTTTTTGATGATTTTTTGCTGAAGGATTACTATTCTTAATATTTTCCTCTCATTTATGTAATATTTATTTAACTAAAATAAATTACTTGAAATTTGTAGGAGCTTTTAATATGACATAATTAATAAATTAATAGAAAAAAATCATAATATTGTGTCAAATAAAATAGCAATAAATATATATATAATATTATAAATTAATTACACAAGAAGTAGTAAAAGGTTATGAGTCTCTTTTCTTCTCGGGATCTGAGTTATGGAATTTGAAATTAGTAAAGAATTAAGATTCTATTTTCCCTCAAATTTATGTTGATGATAAGAATGTTGAGGACATGACATAAGAAACGAAATGATAGTAGTGGTTGGGGATATTAGTACATGGAATATATTAATTAAATTAAATATTTGTTATATAAATATGTGTATGTAAAGTTTTCTTAACATAAAAATTGATGAGAGGGAATTGATTGTAATAAATGAGTGTGTTGTGTTGCAATGCATTAGAGAGATAGGGTAGCAGGAGGTGATCAGATAGGGGTGGCCTGCAGAGAGGTCTGCTCTCATTCTCTCAGCTGGGATGGGAGGGACCAACAGCCACAACACAGCACACAATATTCAATGGAGTTTCAAAAGTCAATAAAAATAATATATACAAACCTAAAACTGTGCACTTTTCTTTACTATACCCTTGGCTTTCTTTCTCTTTATTTACAACTATTTGATTACGTTGAGCGGCCGTCCTAAACTTTTGAGAGGTGCTGTATAAAACATTGAAGTTAATTTCAGTTGAATCAGTTTTACATATGTAAACGATAATATATTTATATAAAATTTTCAAAAATTCAAACCGCTCTGGTGATACATATTTATACATGATTAACTAGATAAGACAGTACTGAAAAAAATGTATATTTATTATCATTGATCATATGTAAAGATTTTAGTCATAATACTTATATGATTCTTAACAATATTACTATTACTTTTTTTTGTTTCTGTCATATTTATCTTCATTATAATTCGGAAATGAAATAATTGTATAGTAAAGAAGCACATTAAGAAAGTTGAAGATTAATGAATGCAAGTTTGAATAACACCACTATAAATAAAGGTTTTTGAACCTAAATTATATAAGTGATCAAAAAGCATAAATTGTTGATAAAACATTAATATTATCTTAAATATATAATGAATGAAAATGACTAGTTGCTCACATGACCCCCAAATAAGCACATTATTCATGGGCCCCCCACGTAAAAATGTATAGTAACCCTTTCTATCTCTATCATCCCTCTCTCTCTCTCTCTTCTAACCTTTCACAATAAAACTGGGTTTCTACTAACATTTCTTTCCCTTCTTTTTCTCATACAATTCTAAAGAACCTTCTTGTTTCAAGTAACTAGTTTTCACATCTTCTTCAACATCTTCTCTCTCTATAATTTCAACCATAACACACCTTTGTTGTCTTGTTTTTTAGGTAAACAAACAAGAACAACAAGAAGAAATTTTCTTTAGGGTTTCAAGATTCCTCTCATAGTCAAATATGAAGGCACCGACTCTTAACTAAAGAAACCTCTTTTTTCCTTTTCTTAGTCTCCATTTTCAACCTCATAAATCTCCCAAAAAAATATCTTATATATTTTTCTTGGTAATTCATTTTTATATATTAATAATAATTCTCAATTTTTTTTCCTTTTTATTAATTTGTTAAAATTTATTTTAGCCTCCCTTACTTCCTCTATTTCATATCATTATATTTTTTTTCTAATTATAATTTTTTTTTTTTTTTGACAATTTTTAGATTTTTTGTGAGATCTAGAAGTTAAAATTAGAAGAATTTGAGACTTGATAAAATTTTGATGGAGTTGTTGCAAGAAGTGAAAGGCTATTCACAAGAGGAAGAGGAAGAAGAAGAAATCATAACAAGAACAACAAAAGATGAAGAAAATAGTAGTAAGCAACAATTACAACACTGCCCTTTTTCTTCTTCTCCTTCTAATTTCTCTTTATCTTCTTCTTCACCTTCAACAACTCATCACCCTCATCATCATCATAATCATGATGTCACAAATCAATGGCTAGGAATCAATCATCATCATCATCACTCTCCAGAGTCTCACAATTCATCTTCTGGAGGATTAGGGTTATTACACCAACAACATCAAGATGCAACAACAACAACAACAACCTCGAATTTCACAAATCAAACAAGTTTAAAACAAATTGATTTCATGGAATTATCACTAGGTAACAACAACAGCTTCAACAAAGATCCTAGTTCTTCAAATGCAAACAACATAAACAGCGAACTTCCCCATCAACAGCAGCAGCAACAACAACAACAGCCTAGTACTCATGAAAAAGAACACATGTTTGACAAAGTTGTAACACCAAGTGATGTTGGAAAACTCAACCGTTTAGTGATACCAAAACAACATGCCGAAAAGTATTTCCCTCTCGATTCGACATCGAACGAGAAAGGTCTTCTTCTCAATTTCGAAGATAGAAATGGAAAATTGTGGCGATTTAGATACTCTTATTGGAACAGTAGTCAAAGCTATGTTATGACAAAAGGTTGGAGCCGTTTTGTCAAGGAGAAGAAACTCGACGCCGGTGACATTGTTTCGTTTCAACGAGGCGTTGGTGATTTGTTTCGACATCGATTGTTCATCGATTGGAGGAGAAGATCTAATCATAACCATAATATGGATCCTTCAGCAACACTTTTCACTCCTTTCTTTCTTCCTAATCAACAACAATATTCTATTAGATGGGGAGGTGCTAATAGTAGATTCTACTCACTTCCTTATCCCTCACCACAAAGGTTACAACAACAACAAAATCTCCATGACCCTTTACAGAATCAGATGAATTACAATTACCAAATGTATCCATTTCATCAACATGGTGTTGGAAATGTGAATCAGAGTTACAATTTTCATCATCATGATCCAAGTTCTGTCTTTTACATGAGATCATCATTACCCGCTGCCGCACCGTCGATGGTTGATCAAGGAAGCTTAACAAGACAACAAGGAGGAGTTGGAGGAGACAATAATGTTTCAAACATGATTATTGATTCTGTTCCTGTTTCTCATCATTATCATCATCAACAAGGTGGTAAGAGTGGTTATTCCAGCACTGGAAATTTTACTAGTACTACTACTATAGCCAGTACTAGTACTAGTATTAATGGTGCTGCAAAAAGGTTAAGGTTGTTTGGTGTGAACATGGAATGTGGATCTTCAACAAGTGATGAAAATTTGGCTAATTCAGTTCCTTCTTCTTCTTCAAATTTGAGGTTACATCATGAAGAAACACTTTCAACATCAACAAGATATCAAGAGGACAAGAGAAGAGAAGCTTCATTGATTTTTGGTTTAGACCCTTCTTTGCAATATCATAATTTTCATCAACAATGATGAAATGAAACCAAAAAAGAAAAAAGGAAAAATAATGAAGAATTTGTTACAATATATATATATATATATATCTATATATATATATTTCTATATTTCAGCATTTTTCTTATATTATAACACATTCTCTATTGATTATGATCATTTGAAGTTTTAGTATTTTTTCTAGAACTTATGAATGAGTTTAACCAGGATAAGATCCATAATTTCAGAATTCCTAAAGAAGGAAAATGAAATAGATGGAAATGAATCACATTTAGAGCTTAGTAAAATTTGTGTATAAAAAATTAGAACACAAAAAATATATGTATTATTTTATTGTAAATGAGGTTTTTGTCTTCATTTGATTTTAATCTCTCTCTCATTCCGTTTTCTGCATTTAATGATACACAGAAAAAATTGTTGCTTTTTCTTCTTTCCTCTAATGTTTCTGTTAGCCTTGTTGGGTTGATGTGTTTCATAACACTGCTACTATTCTGCTACCTCTCTCTGCTCCTTAGACATTTTAGCTTTGCAGATAGACTTCAGAAGAGATGTACAGCTGTAAAAGGGTAATTTCTTTTTTCATCTCTGCTTCATTCATTTAATTTTGCTATGGATTTTCTATATATTACCATACACAAATAATCAATTTTTACTGTTTCTTTCTTGCTTCTTGATTTCTATTGTGAACCTAGCAGCCACCTTCTTTCTTTGGTTTTACACTCTTCACTCACACATGTTTTAGGTATGTCAAATTTTTGCTTTTTCTTTTCTATGTTTTTCTTATTAGTAACTACTTGCTTTAATATTTCTCTTATGCATATCTTCTAATTTTTTCAATTTTTATATTATTTATTTACATCACAGTGTGTTCACTTAAAAATTGACTTTAGACCATCAAAATTTCATATAAGAATTTTTCATATATTTACCAAGGTAGCACATTGATGACTAACTTAAAATATGAATGATCTGATCTAGATCCAACTACTATTGATCACTAACGATGTGAATGACTAAATTTACTGACCAAAGACAATTAAAATTTGATTTAAAAATCTCAACCATTCACGTAGTCACCACATTGATGACTATTATATTGAGATTGAGTGGTCCATATTTCAATACTTATTTGAAATTCGGACCATATGATTTGATTCAACTACCATCACTAATATACTAACCATGATTTTAAATTGCGGTTATGACTGTTGCTGCAGTTGTATTTGATGTTATTGCGGTTGCGATTATTACAGTAGTCATGATTTTAAATTGCGGCTATGACTGATGAGGTTGTAGTTGATGCTATTGCGGTTGCGATTATTACAGTAGTCATGATGTAAATTATGATCGTTGCGGCTGAATGTATATTTTATGAACATAAAATATTATACTTTATTATTTATTTTATATTTCACATGTGTTCCATTTTCTCTCGGCTTTTATATGTATCATTATAGATTGTCCATCACTTTGAATATCTCTAATTTTTCTTAAAAGACTTAATTTGTTGTTGGCTGATGCGAACTTATGTGACTATTGCGGTATTATGATGTGACTATTACGGCATTATAATATAATATTTAGTATAATTTATGTTTACGCTGCAATTACAGCGTGATGCAGACACAGACACTACCGCAACTGTAATATTGCGACGGCATCATATAATGCAAACCGCAATTTAAAATCATGATACCGACTAAGTAATTGTGTGGCGATGTTGATCCAACATTGCAAACAATCCAAATCATATATTAAAGATTCTCATGCATGTGATATTGCTATGTTTAATACTTAATTAGTCTTCATAACAGTTTTTCTTACTGTTGAAAGTTGAAAATTACCTACTATGATACTAACAATTTTAATTTCTTTTTCATAATTGTCACAGTCATTGCAATAATTTCAGCTGATACATTTTTGGACATTAAATCAAGGAACTTTCCTTTGGCAATCAAGGTGAATATCAATATTCATATATAGTATGTTAGTTTTGTTTTTTATCTGAAATATATCAATAAATATAAGATACACAATGTTGGTTACTATAATAAGAATATAAACAATTTTATACCCCTCCAATACATTTATGCACATACTAATTTAATTAAAAGACAAATTTAACATTCAATTCATAAGGTAGTTGAATTCAAATATAACATTGATGATCTTTGTCTCTAGGTTTACATAACATGTCAAAAATAACACTGTTCATCTTGAAAAAAAAACATTAATGTTAGAAATTATAGAGTCATATTGAATGCAAAAGATGAAAAAATATACTGTTTCATAGCATAAAAAGGAGATATCAAACAGAATGTTATGGTGTTATATGGTTGTGACAATGTAGAAAACAAAAGCAAGACATAGGAGTAGGACAGTAAGATAAACAGTATTATAAGGTTAGACAAGACATAAACATAGGAGCAGGATTTTTGGTTTTGAGGGATACACAGAATTGAATGTGATGCTTGTTTTTATTTGGTGTTAAAATAAAATAAATAAGAGTGTGTATCTTAGATCCTTTGGTAAAGTCAATTTTTTTATGAGCATAAACCTCCAAAGTCTTTGATCAACACTTGTGTCTGATGGAAAATAAATACTGAAAGAGACTGGAAATTCAAGTTTTGGTTTTTTGGGATGTGGTCTGCATGTCTAAGATTCAAATGCTTGGAATTTTAAATAATAAAATTAAGGCAGAAAAATAATTTTATATATATATATATATATATATATATATAATGAAGTTAGATTTTTTTTTTTTTAATTTCTCTTAATTTTTTGTATATATTAAAGATGAAAAAAATGGATAATTGTTAATTGTATAAGTTATATAATGCTATAGTTGATAATGTTAATTGTTTGTATTCTATACATTTTTCATTTGTTCATGAATAATTGTTTTGTACCTATTTTATGCAGAAGGGAAAAAGTAAAAAAAGCATCAAGATGAAGCCATATATTGAAAGATTTGAGGTATTAAACCAAGGTAATTTATTTTTCTGAAAACATGGGCTTTTTTGTTCTAGGGGTGAGGTCCCTTTTATTTTTTATATTAATTGAAAATTTATTATGTGCATTTAATTTAGCATTTAAATTAACTGCAAAAACATATATCAAGAGGGTTTGAGTTTAGTGAGAGGGACTAATTTCTTACAACATAGTGAATATTTGATTATGTAGTCAATGGTAGAAATTTCGCGAAATGATGTTATTTTTTTTATAAGAAAATTGTGAAATGATGTTATTTTTTTTATAAGTTAGTTAATTCAGAATAATTAGTTGTTCAGATAAAGTTTAGTTTTTAAATTGATATTTAAAAAAATCTTTAAATTAGGTTTTTAAATTTTTTTTAGAGTATTGAAATTTGTTTTGTTGATGTTTGTGGGTTTTTGAACTTTAATTAAGGTTGAGTATTTCTTATACTCAATCTCATTTTTTAAATCTATATTATTTGAAACTAAAAAAAAAACCAATGGTTTCATTCATATAGTGATTTAAGATTTATATTTTGATGGGTATATATGTTCAAATTAGTGGCTCAAACTGAGGTTGACTATTTCTTGTATTCAATCTTTTTTTCTTTAACATATTTTATTTTTAATTAAAAATGTGTACTAATAAATGGTTGGGTATGTGTCTTAAGTCTTCCACAATATAGTGACTTAAAGGTTTAAATTCAGATCCATAGATTTCTTTGAGAGTTAATTTTTTTTAAAATTTAGAGGAGAAGATCTTGAAATATATTTGATATTTTTAAAAAGTCAGAAAATAATATAATTTTATATTATAATAAGATTATATTATCTTTTAAAATTTTAAAAAATATCAAACACATTTTAAAATATATATGCAACTCTTTAAAATTTACTCATTGAAAATCCTCTAAAAATCAACTCCGAAAAAGACTAATAAAAACACGTTTAAATTAGTATCATACATGATTATCTCTGATATGGAGAAAACCTATGAAAATGAAAACTAGGGAATATTGTTCTCAATTATGATCAAGAAAATATATAGAAATGTGTTGGGACTCAAATATTCAAAGTTTTAAGAATGTATCCATTTTTTTTATAAGAAATCAATAAAATTAAATTGATATCTTTATATTTATATTTTTTTTATAATACTGATTTAAAGGATAATTTTTATCGATCTAGTAATTTGTTTTTATTTTTGTTTTTTATTTTCTTCATAGTTTGGCTTATGTCCCTTGAATTTATTTTATAATTTTTAATAATATTGATGTTGATTTGGATAAAATAATAATAAGTGTATAGGATGTAGTTTTGATTATAATTATTTTATTTTATTATTAGTCTAGTGGTTAACGCATCTTGAATTATATATATATATATATATATATATATATATATATATATATATATATATATATATATATATATATATATATATATATATATATATATATATATATATATATATATATATATATATATATATATATATATATATATATATATATATATATATATATATATATATATATATATATATTAGTGACACAGAATAAAACTTGAGAGTTTACATAAAATACTTTCACTTTGATATATGAAACACAATAATATATACTGAATACTTTTTTCTGTTAAAGAAACTAATGTTAATTTGTTTTCAGGGAGTGGACATAAAAATTTATAGTTTGATTCAAGAGCTTGAATTTCATTGGACATAGATTCAAACTATTCAGGTTATTTAATGGCTTGAGGCTAAGATCTTGGTTCTTGATATTCAATGATTTTGTAAATATCATATATGAATGGAGGATTGAGGATTGGAAGAGGTGTCATCCTATAGACTTAGATTTGATAAGTTTAAATATCATATATTCAATATTCTTTCTGACTAAATGGATATCTAACAAAAAAATGTTGTGTTTGGAGTGATTATCAAATTTATGTTGAATATTCATATTTTTATAGTAAAACATAGACATTCAAACACTAAAACTTTATGATAATGAACTGCTAGAATCAAGTCAAACTTGATGATGTGATTTACATTTGAGAATTCTTGTGGAAAGTTTTATTTGTATGTTATGCTACAATCAAAAGACATTCGCCCCAAAAGGAGAGAGACAAGTTGGATTGAGATGGAAACTCTTGCAATGATGACATGTATTAGATTGAGATAAAAGATTTTTTTATTTTAAATATTTTTTTGAAGTTTTCAAACAATTTTTTTATAAAACTCAAATAAATTTCATAGTATTTAATTAAATTAATTAAGATTTTTTAGAGCAATAAATTCATTGGTATTTATTGAGATTTCCCGCAATTTATAAAAAAAATTATTTATTCTAAAATTTATATATTTTAATGGATTTTTCTTTTGGGTGAATTTTGAAAAACTTTTTAGTTTAAAATATGTATATTAACAATCCTTCTGTGTGATTATGTGTGTGTGTGTGTGTGTGTGTGTATGAGAGAGCGTGTGCGTGCATGTGTGAGTCGGTGTGTGCGTGCATGTGTGCGTGTGCAGAGAGAGAGAGAGAGAGAGAGAGAGAGAGAGAGATGTGCAAGATTCATTGTATTATCATCGTCATAACATGGGGAACTCATTCATGTCCTTATATACACAATGCTAGTTATATGCACAATGTTAGTTACACTTAATAACTAACTTACTAACTTTTGAATATCATACCTAACTCTATTCTAAAACTTTAATACACCCCTCAAGTTTATCGTGGTTTGAAGGAAACAACTTTGAGCTTGTCTCAGAAACTTGAGAAGAGATTAGTTGGAAGTGGTTTTGAGTATGTTATATATCTGGTTTTGTAAGAGTCGCATAATGCAATTTTTTGAAAGTGAACCTATAGAGTATAGGATTTGATAGTTTATCTTCACCATGCTTACTTAGTTTAAATGAGCTAAACATAGGTGTGCTTACTCTATTTTCTCCAACAATATTAACTCTGGTCAATAGGTTCTTGATGTACTTGGTTTGAGTGAGCACCATCAAACCATTTGCTTGATAATGAACATTAATTCCTAGAAAGTATTGAGGGATGCCAAGCATTTTAAGCACAAATTTTTTATACCGTTTAGAGATTAGATTGTGCAGAATAATAGGCGATGAACCTATAATGAGTATGTCGTTGACATAGACTAATGCATACAATGCAAGATGGTTATTATTGTAGATGAATAAAGAGTGATCAAATTTTCTTGAAGTGAAACCAAAGTGAATTAAAGCTTGGAGGAGATTCTCATACCATGCTCGTGGCACCTGTTTTAGACCATATATAGCTTTTCTTAGTTTGCACACCATGTTAGGATCTGAGGTGGAGAAACCTAGAGTTTGCTGCACGTAAACTTCTTCCTATAAATATACATTTAAGAATGAATTATTGATGTCAACTTGTTGAACTTCTCACTTGTAAGTGAGTGACAGGGTCAAAATGATGTGAATTATTGTAGATGAATCAAGATGATTAACTTCAAGAGAGAATGTTTCGTGGAAATCAAATCCATGTTGTTGGTGGAAACCCTTAGCCATAATTTTAGATTTATATTTGTTGATGCTCCCATATGAGTTTTCCTTAACCTTGAATATCCATTTTCACCCTATTGTATTCCTATATGGTGGTAGATTTGTAAGGGTCCAAGTACCATTTTTTATTAAAGAGTCATATTCAGCTTTCATGGGCATTGATCCATTCAGGTTAAGTAAGGGCTTGTTTGGTAGTTGAAGGTTCATTGTGCACTAAAGATACTTTAGGCTTAGATTTATTTGTATTGGCTCTAGTTAGCATTGGATGACTATTGATTATTAGAGGGCGTCATACCCTAATTTTTACCCCAAAGATCTCACGTCATTTATATCTTTGCAATGCATCAAGATCACAAACTTGGTTATTTCCCAATCCTCTCATCTTTGGATATACCTTTGTAGATCATTAAGCACCTCTTTGTGTATCTTTCATTTTTGTACTTATAGGATTTATAATTCACTAATCATTAATCAATATATATATATATATATATATATATATATATATATATATATATATATATATATATATATATATATATATATATATATATATATATATATATATATATATATATATATATATATATATATATATATATATATATATATATATATATATATATATATATATATATATATATATATATATATATATATATATATATATATATATATATATATATATATATATATATGCATTGTCCCTTTTATTTCTTTTGGAAGGTAGGTTTTGGAATCAAGAGCATCAAGTGATTGTCTCTTCAGTTAGAGTTTGAATACCTCAAGTCAAAGTGTGGTTAACTAATGATTTTCAAAGGCTTTTAATCAAAGAATGACCTCTAATCTAAAAGCATAGGGCCTTAAACATCATTCAGTTTCATTTGATCAAAGATGTTTCAAAGTTTGATAGCTTGTTTCTCAAGAAAACTTCAAAGGTTCATGTGTTTATTTCCATGCCTTCATCAACAAGTTTCCTTAAGCCATTGCAAGTTTCATCAAAGGAAAATCAAGATTAAAGTATTTTGAGTTCATATGATCATCAATGTACCTTGAAATGCAAGAAAAAGTCCAAGGTTGCAAGTTTGTTGAAAGAGGTTTGACCAAAAAGTTAACATTTAAAGTCCAAGTTCAAAATGTCATAACTTCTTCATACTTCAACATTTTTGAGTGCTTCTTTGAGAAAATGACTCTTCTTGGCATCTCCTCTAACTTCTCTTTACAAGTATAGAGCCAGTTATGCTTGAAATATCATCAAAAGTTTGAAAACACTAGAGGTCGATTTGTGGACTTAGTGAAATTTGACCTAAACTTAAGTGATATTTGCCTAACTTCCAAAGGTCATAACTCTCTCAATTTTCAACATTTGTGGGTGGTTCTTTTTGCCAATTATCATATTTGATGCCCTATATAAGTTTTTTTCAAGGATCAAAGGCCAATGATGCTTGGAAAGCCATGAAGCATTTGAAGACATTATAGGTCATTTTGGACTTAGAAATATTTTGACCCCTGATTACAGGTCATCGTGCCAACTTTACAAACTCATAACTTTTTGCTTAAGCATCCAAATGAAACCTTCTTTTCACATTGTATTCTTTGTTACGATGTGATCATTTTGCAAAAAGAGTTAGCATTAAAGATCAAGTGTACAAGATATCCCATTGGTTTGAAGTTTACCCCATGGAACTAAAAATTGCTCATGGTCAGAATTTGCAAATCACAAATTACTCCAAACTAAAAATTTTAGATTTCGTTTTCAAATTATAATCAATTTCAACTCCATTTCTTGGTTCCATTAGCACCTTCGGCATCTTCTAAAGCTATTGCAACAATTCACAAGCCTTGAAAGCCTCTGAATCGTGCTAACCAAGTCAACCTTGCAGTAACTTCCGATATTTGGAAAAGGTAGTTAGAGGCTTCATTTTCACTCAAACAAGTTAGCACAATGTAGCCTAATACTCTCTGATGCTTTCTCCTAACTTATCTTGCTTTAATTGATCTCGTATGGAATTTAAATTTTCTTTTCGTGTTTTCATTTTCACTGAGTTTTCTCCAAAATTGTCCATGCTTGTTTTCAACAAATGAAAATGAGGCATACAATTGGATTTGCACTGACGAAACAGTTGTAAGGGTGGTGGTTCCATGCCTTGAGCTAACCATTTGTCAAACTCTAGTGAACAACTCACCGAAGAAGACAACCAAAGGTGCACAGTGGTGGCTTGAGTTTGTTTTATTTCAAATTTGATTCGGCATATTATTTCATTTAAGGTCTACCATGTTTCTTTAGATCCTAACCCTTGGATGTCTTTAAAAATAATATGATGGCCATGCGTGTGTGTGAATGTTGTCCTTAGATCTGATCCAATGGTTGTGGTATTTTGTGTCCTTTTATTTTATTTTAATTATTTTAATATTCTCATTTATTTTAAAAAAATCATAAAAAATAGCCCCCTTAACCTTTTTCACTCAAAATTTTTTCTATAACTTTCTAAAAATATTTTCTACCTAGTGGTTTTTTTCTTCACATTTTTATTTCATGATTTGGTATTTTTCATTTGTTTTCTCTTTATTCATGCATTTTAATTAGTTTAAAAATACTTTTATGCATTTTAAAAATCGGAAAAAAGTATCTTATGATCCTTGGCTTGTTTCTAGTTTATCTTGATTTGTTGAGGCTTTATTTGATGTTTAGATGTTTCATTTGCATTTTATATTTTATTTTCAATTTGAAATCATTTTAAATATGATTTTCATGCATTTTTATTGTTTATTATTACATTTTTATATTTTGATTGACTTCTGGTTGCCTTGGATTATGACTTATTTATCAAAATCATCCTCAATCTCAATGGACTCTGGGTGTTTATGAGATTGGATGAATCTTCATCAATTCAAACTTATTATTAAATGATCATTTGGATAATTTTTAGTACTTTGGATTGATGTTTAATACCTTATTCCACCAAGAGATGATTGAATTGATGATAGATGAATCTCAAGTGATGATTCAATTTGGTTTCTCTCTTCATCTCATTCTCCCTCTTTTTTTTTCTTTTCTCTTGATCAATTAGATGATTAAGAGTCCATCTTGTTCATGAAGTTTGGATTAATACTTGGTGGACTTTCATCATTTCAAACCTACCTTT